ATTTTATCAACAATGTAAAGTAGTTAATATAAAGGAACTTCAATTAATTCCTGATATAAAAACTAAATGGAATTCTATATATAATATAATTGAGAGAGTAATATTTTTTTATGAGATAAAAGGGATTTATGTTAATTATATTAATTTTTATTATTATCTAAATATGTTTTTTTATTAGTCACTTCATATATGGCATATGTTAATACCAACCTTTCTATATATCTGTTACATGAAGAAGAATGGAACAAATTGAACAAAATAAAAGATTTATTAAAGGTATAATTAATGTTAATAATAAATATTTTTTGATAAAATATATTAAATATAGTAAATTAATATTAAAATAAATATTTTTTAATAAAATATATTAATTATAATTTATTATAGTATTTCAAAGATGCTACCTTGGAAATTAGTATATCAAAATTTCCTATTCTAGGTCAAACTATTCCAATTTACAATTATCTATTTGATAATATTGAAGAATTTAAACAAAACAATTAACTTTCAACTGCTATAAATCTTTCAACACAAAAACTTAAAGATTATTATTTAACTTCAGATGGTTTAGTGTACATTATTGTAACAAGTATGATATTTACTTATATTTATATATTAGAAAATTTTTTCAGACATAAATTTTTGAAATATTACATAAATATTTTGGAATTTATATCTAAAAAAATCTGTTTTTTAAATTTGCTTGTGATTCATGTGAAAGAGAGTGATTTTTCACTAAGATGTTTTTAAAATGAATTGAACATCTTGGTTTTTGCTACATGCTGATATGTGTTTCATTCTTATAGCATCAATATTCATCAGGATATTCGTATTTAAATTTAAATATCCATGAAAAATTTTGCAAAAAGTTTTATGGAAATTTTCAAAAATCTTTCTTTAATATTTCAAAAATCTCCATAAGTGTCATAATATTACATAACATTACAAAATATTACATGAAATTATTTACAAAATTTTTCATGAACATCTGAATTTAATGTGAATATCTTGATGAATATTGAAGCTACAGGAATAAAACATATATTGACATGTAGCCAGAAACCAGGACTTTAGATCTGTCTTAGAAATATCTTAGTAGAAAATTGTGAATAATATCAAAAACAGATTTTTTTTGTAAATTGTAACAAATCTCAAATTTGTTAGAGAAAAATAATAAATATCAACAAATATTTATTTGAGACTTGTTTTTATAATTAAATAATTGAACAAGAACTGGCTTGTCCTTTATTAATTCATATACCTTATATATATATAAATATATGTTTATAAATATATAATAACTATATATAATAATTAATAAATAATCTTAGATCTTACAAGACCAATTCAGATTGTTACATAAATATGATAATTATGTGATAAAAAATATAATAAAAGATAAAATAGAAATAATAATAAAATAGATAATATATGAGGATTAACTGGTTATCAAGGTTAATTAGGTTGATGCTTAGTTAATCTCATGTGTCATCAAAATATAATAATATAAAAAAAATAAAAGTAAAATTAAAACAAAATAAGAAATAAAATACTACATAATAAACTATGTAAGGTTGCATAAAACTATGCCATATAATACTATGCTATATGATATAAACTTTACATAAATAGTGTAATATTACATAATATTACACCTAAAAAAATTTACTGATGTATTTATTTAAATTTTAATTATTAATACTTTGTTTTATATTAAATAGTTCTAGATCCTCATTTGAAACTGACTTATTTGAAAGAAAATAATTTTGATTCTAGATATATTAAAACATATAAATAACAAATTACTGATCTATCGAAAAGCAAATATAAACCTGGTGAAAATCAAGAATCAAATACATTGACATCAAAACAAACAGCATTAACTAATTATATTTTCAAAAAGTGAAAAGTAATGCATAAAGATAAATTAGAATCATATTTAAAAGAACTTGCATCCAATTTTGAGATAGATGCATTATCGTATTGGAAGATATAATATTAAAATTATAATAAATTTATGTTAAATATTAATATATATAATTTATGTTTTGTTTTATTTATAGTTACATGAATTGGAATTTCCTAATCTTTCAAAAATGGCTTGTGATTATCTTTCAATTCAAGGTATAATTTTTAATATTAAATAAATAATATTTCTCATTTTTTTAAAATATATAATTTATTTTATTTTGAATAGGAACTAGTATTCCTGTTAAATGAATATTTTCAGGAGATACAGATTTAGTAACATAAAGAAGTTTAAATTCAAACACTATTAGAATGTGCATGTGTTTGAAAGGTTGGTGGAAATTAGATGATGAAAATATTAATGAAATTGATGAAAATATTAATAAAATTAATGAAAATATTGATAAGATTAATAAAGATAATTACATTATGTAATTTTTTTTAGTAATTTCTATTAATTTTATATGCTTTTAAAATTAATTTTTAATAGTTTATTATATAATTTAAAAAAATTTATTTTATAATTTTAAAATTATAATTTTAATTAATTTTATATCTATTTTTTATTAATAAATATATAATCTTAACTGAATTGTAATGAATAAAATATAATGATAAGAATATTAAAATATAAAGAATATAAGGGTATTGCTCACTGGTGGTGATCATATTTAAATCGGAAAAACCCGGTTCGGTTCGGTCTCGGTTTGAGTCGGTTTCAAACCGAAACAGAGCTTTAGAACAGGAATGACTCATTCCTGTTCTATCTTGTTAAAGTTAGTTTCATTAGAGGGTTATTTGCGGAATTGGGAATCCTAGCCGATCTTCTTAGTAAACGACAATAATATTAATTATAGCTTATTTAATAAATTTTCTTATTTAACTATAATAAATGTGCAACTTTTTTATTTTCTTATGAATTTTTTGACAAATGAATAAGTTTTAATAATTTAATGTTTACCAATCATGCAAAAACACAGAATGAAGCCCAAATCTGACGCGCGTGCAATGTAAACTCCTTTTTCACAATAATTAACATGCCATTTTTTTTTTAGCTTATTCTTTTTCCTTAGGTTTTTTTTTTTTACATATATTGTATGATTTTCACAAGATATAAATAAGTTTTCGTAATTATAGTGTTTGGGTGTTTATTGCCAATTGTGTGCGAAAACGCTAAATTTCACCTCGAATTTTAATACAACGATAGTGCCGACTTAGGCGGATCGGTAATTAATATCGTTACTATAACTGCATTTTCTAATGCCTTAAATACTTTTCTTCATTTAAATTATTATTACATTCTAATCTTCTCTTTATGGCTATTATGGAATATTTGCTATGCTATCCATTTTTATTACTACTATAATTAATAATTATTACCATAATTATTAATACTATTAATTTATCGTTTCTTTAAAGCTTTCGAATACTTTGTTCCGTTATTAATTATCTTTACAATTTTTATATTGAATCCATTGAAATTAATAAAGCTTGTGAAAGTACATATCCATAAGCTTTATATTCAATGAATTTGGTAAATGCAATATTATAAAAAATATATAAAATTTGAACATAATGAATATAATATAATTATAATATAAAATAAATAAAAAATTCGCTTTTTATTATTATTAAGTTTTATTAAGTTTAATCACTCGAGGAAATTAACCATTAAGTACATATTATTTGGAAGTCCACTAATGAAAGTCGTGAATGTCTTCAAAGTTATAATCATCTTTTAAAGAAACAAAAAGATAATGATATAAATATAAATTAAGATCTATTCAAATAAATACAAAAAATTAATATAATATTAATTAATTACCCAGAAATTCTTCAGTTATTTCATCCAATTCTTCCACATCCTTTTCAGGATTTCAAAATTTTTCTTAATAAAATTCCCGCGGTCTTGGAAAATGATCTTTGTGATAAATCCTACCATCCCTGGCTACGGCTTGAATGAATTCTTTCTTATCACAGATTCAGATAATGTTAACCAATCGAGATAATAATTCTTTTGGTTGAAAACGAAGATTTTCGGGATGTTTAACTTTTAATTCGGTACATTTCGTTCCCATCTAACATCGCGACCAAGCAATCAACGATTTCGGAAGTTAGAAATGGATGTCATGTATTCTAACAAATGCCATGAATGAAGTTCGCTTGTCATAAGATCGAAGCAAATTTTCACGTTCTTAATTTATTATTGGATATTAATAATTGATAATTGATAACGTAAAATTAATATATTACATAATCTATAAGATATTGCTCTTTTATTATCCATTTCATTATTACGAATATCAGTTAATTTCGGTAAACTTTCATCCAATAAATATATTGCATCATTCATAAATAAATTGGCAAAGATTATGTTTTTCTAATTTATTTAAAAAACAAAATGAACAAATAAATAATAATAAAAATACTTAAATATTCTAAAATATATTAATTAATTAATTAATTGATTAATTAAAATATTAGAATTAGAATTAGAATTAAAATTAAAACTTACCTACTTTCTACTTTTTAAACTTTCTCTGTGAGTATGATTACCTCATATTGGTTTGAATCGAATATTAAATTTGTCATAAAATTGAGTATGGGCATCAGTTTGTTCCACCTCTGAAAATAGAGAGTGAGTGTGTGAGAGAATTAATAAATATTAAAATAAATATTAAATATTCCAGGAATCGATCAAGTATAAGTTTCTTTTCATTTTTTGTAAGAGATGAATCATTTTTTTAATCTTATTTTCAATATACTTTCCTTGTTCATTAGTAGTCATAGGAAAGTTTTAAGAACAAATTGCTTTATTCAATATCTTGAGTAACCGTTTCTAATTTCATTAATTGTTTATTAATTTTTTTGACTATAAATGTTTACATTAAACTCCGTGTGAATAAACATTTTGGATTAATTCGGAAATAAATTAAATTTTAAATTTATTATACTAAAAAAAATAAATCACAAACATACAATCAAATATACAATTAATATAAAGTATTAAAAAGTAGCAAATGGAAAAATATTCACAATGTTAACTTTTCATCTTTAATATTTTCTTGTATTTTTAAAGCTACTTGTCTAGCAGCTTCAGGAATTTTAGTACCAGGTCCAAATATAGAACTTACTCCAGCATCATATAAAAATTGATAATCTTGATGCGGAATAACTCCTCCAACTATAACAATTTTATCATTTACACCAAGTCTTTTAAGTTCATTTATTATAGCTGGTACTAATGTCTTATGTCCAGCAGCTTGTGATGATACACCAATTACGTGAACATCATTATCAATAGCTTGACGTACAACTTCCTCAGGTGTACTAAATAATGGAGACAAATCTACATCAAATCCAAAATCACTGAATGCTGATGCAATAACTTTTGCACCTCGGTCATGACCATCTTGACCACATTTTGCTACCAAAATTCTTGGATTTACTCCTAACTTTGTTCGTGTTTCCTATAAAATTTATAAATTTTAAAATTTTTTTTTTTTTGATGTTAATAAAAATGGTAAAAATGTAAATAAATGAATAAAAATAAAAATAAAAATATAAAAAATTAAAACAATAATTACTTCAATTGTTTTTAATGTAGCATTTGTCTCATCATTGGTTCCATAAGTTGATTTATATGCTCCACTGGCAACGCGACTAAATGGTTCGTGACGTCCCCAAACTTTTTCAAGGGCATATGAAATTTCACCAACTGTACAACGTGCCTTAGAAGCCTAAAAATCAAGATTTATATTTTTGCTTCAATATTTTATATATATATGAGATTATAATATTTGTATTCAAAATATCTTGAATCATCACTAAAAAAAAAAAAAAATAAATACCTCAATCGATAATTCAAGTAAATTACCCTTCCCACTTTTTGCACATTCACTAAGTGCATTTAACGTGCTTTCAACCTAAAATAAATCAATAAGCCATTAACAAATAAATAATAAATAAATAATTTTAAGTAAAATCAATTTTCAATTTAAACCTTGACAGGATCTCGTGAAGCTTTGAGACGTTTTATATTCTCAACTTGGCTTTCTCGAACCTTTGTGTTATCAATTGTGCGAACATCAATCGGAGTTTCTTTTTCAAGTCGGTATTTATTTACACCAACAATTGTTTCTATGATTATAAAAAAAAAAAAAGGTATTAATTATCGTTATTAATTTTAATGTATTATGATAATAGTTACCTTGATTGGAATCTATTCTTGCTTGTCTTCGAGCAGCACTTTCTTCAATTTTTAATTTTGGCATTCCACTTGCTACAGCTACCGCCATTCCTCCCATCTGTTCAGTTTCTTCAACGAGTTCCTTTGCTTTAGAATAAAGTTTATTTGTTAAGTTTTCCATAAAATAACTACCTCCCCATGGATCTGCCACTTTGGGAATAAATGCTTCTTCCTGGAGAATAATTTGTGTATTACGTGCAATACGTGCTGAAAATTCTGTAGGAAGACCTACAGCCTCATCAAATGAATTTGTATGTAGTGATTGAGTTCCTCCTAATGTGGCAGCCATGGCTTCAATTGTTGTTCTTATAATATTATTATATGGATCCTAAATATTTAATTTTTCAATCTATGTAATATATGCATATTAAATAATAAAATTATATGAGAAATAAAACCAAAGATTTACTCACTTGCTCTGTGAGTGACCAACCAGATGTTTGACAATGAGCGCGTAACATCATGCTTTTTTCATTTTTTGGTTGAAATCTATCTTTAATATAATGAGCCCACAATCGGCGAGCTGCCCTCAATTTTGCTATTTCCTATAATCAAATAAATCAAACAAATGAAACAAATGGATAGGTAAATTAAATAAATAAATTAATATAAAAAATGAATTAATAAATAATTAGAATAGATAATAATAAATAAAATAATTATAAAATTACCATGTAAAAGTTCATACCGATACCCCAAAAGAACGATAATCGAGGTGCAAAATCATCAACTGACATGCCTGCCTTGATGCCTTTAAAAATTCCGGAATAAAAAAAATTTTTTTTTTTATTATTTTCAGCAAAATTTAAAAAAAAATAATTAAAAATTTCTTTGATTAAGACATACCTGTCCTGACGTACTCTAAACCATCAGCCACTGTAAAAGCTAATTCTAAAACATTATCAGCACCAGCTTCTTGCATATGATATCCAGAAATTGAAATTGAATTGTATTTTGGCATGTTCTATCAAATAGAAAATTATTATTATTATAAAAATTTTTAAATTTTTACAAAATAAAATTCTTGTATATAAAACTTACCTTTGAAACAAAAGAGAAAATATCTCCAATAATTCTCATAGAAGGTTCAGGTGGATAAATGAATGTATTACGAACCATGAATTCTTTAAGAATATCATTTTGTATAGTTCCAGATAATTCTTTTAATTGCGTGCCTTGTTCCAATCCCGTAACAATATACATAGCCAAAATTGGTAGAACAGCGCCATTCATTGTCATGGAAACGGACATTGTATTTAAAGGAATTCCATTAAAAAGAATCTACAATATGAAATTTGATTCATAAGTAGTAAACTTCTTTAGCTTCAAGACTAACAAGAGCGTTAATAAAAAAAGATTTGCCTTCATATCTTCAACTGAGTCAATAGCCACTCCTGCCATTCCTACATCACCAATTACACGAGGATGATCTGAATCATAACTAAATAATAAAATAATTCATAACATGTAAGGTTAATTAAAATGAAAATGAAATGATAATTAATTTATAGGATTTTATATTCTCACCCTCGATGTGTGGCTAAATCAAAAGCAACTGATAATCCTTGTTGGCCTGCAAGTAAATTTCTACGATAGAATGCATTGGATTCTTCTACCGTACTGAAACCTGCATACTTTATGAAGAAATAAAAAAAAAAAAAAAAAAATTCGAATTCGCAAGGAGATGATAGTCAAATCAAAACTAGGATGAATTGTTATATGTACCTGCCGAATTGTCCAAGGTCTCGCAGTATACATTGATGCATGTGGACCTCGTGTAAACGGAAATTTTCCAGGAATTTCATCAGGAAAACCTTCCGTATCAGCTTTTGTATAAACTGGATTCACATTAATATTCTAAAAAGAAAAAATTAAATTAAATTAAAATTAGAAATTTGAAGCATTAGAAATAAGATTGTAATCAAAATTTACCTCAGAAGTGTGCCAAGTCAAAGTTTTTTCTGGGTCTTTCCCTTTTAATTCTTTTGTTGCTATTTTGGCCCATTCTTTGTGTAAAGCATTTATACGAGGACTGACTGAGACATATGTCTAAAAAAATCATTAGATATTTTAATTTTTAAGAAATTAAACATGGATATTAAATAATTTATAATTATTATAAATTATACCCTCTTAGAATAATTTTTAAGTGTATATCTGAAATTTCCAAGGGTCACGAACCGTCGCATAATTTTCTTGAAATAAGTAAGTGAAGTAAATGAGAAATTTTGATCAGATGTTATAGATCTATTGTGGTGGATGGTTACACAATTTTTATCATATTTTTATTTACAAGAGATCAATACTTTTACAATAATTGCTAAATTTTTTGAAGTGAGTATGTTATTTCAATTGGTTTATTTATTTAAGATTCATAGATAAAATATTGTGTAAGGAGACTTACTCTCTGGATATATTTTACGTAACGTTATATATTAGCGATTTAAACTGAGTAGACAATCATTGAATATACATTGAACCTGGTCAAATTTATACAATTAAATTATGTATATATATAATTTAGGTGATGAAATTCCTTTTCGTAAATATGAAACATGATTTATATCTATCATTTGTCAAAGGATATCTACCAAATATCTATGAAGAAATTTCACAAGAATGCCTGATGCAAATATAATTCGTGAATTATTAATTGAGGCATTATACAATGAAATGGATAGCAATAATTAACAATCAACCCAAAAATTGAAATCAAAATTTTTAAAATTGACAAAAATAACGAAACAAGTAATTGAAAATACTAAATTAATTAAAAATACAAAAAGCAAAGTATATAAGTTCGGTATTCAAATGAAACCTCAAAATGCCACTGATCGTAAATACACTCACTGGTAAAAAGTATAGAGACACCTGACAATTTTTAAAAATAAATCATTTTAGTTATTCTATATAAA